GCCGGCGTCCGGCGCTCCCCGTCCCGGCATGGCAGCCCCCGTGGGCCGGCGCGGCTCAGGTGAGGGCGCGCGGCCCCGCGGGCCTCCGAACGCGGGCGGCGGGCGGGCGGCCAGCTTCCCCGACCTGGGGCGGCTGAGCTCCCGGTTTCCCTTGCCTAAACTCCGGTGCTGACCTCTCAGCGTCCCGGGAGTGGAGATAAGGACAGATGGCTCCTAGAACCTGGGCCACAGGTGGGCACCAGCTCCTCCGACCTCGGAGTGGCGGGACTGCTGAGTGCTCTTCCTGGACCCACGTTGGGCTCAGAGTCCCTAAACTCAGGCAGCGGGTGGGCCGCCAGCCTCGCCAGCTCGCGCCGGGGAGGTTTCCAGGGTTTGCGTTCTGCTTTGCTCAGCTTTGCTGGAACTCTCAGCGGGCACCAGCTTCTCCAACCCTCACGTGAAACTCCCAGGATTCCCTTCCCCAATCCAGGAGGCAACGCTCAGCTTCTCTAAACTCAGACAGTGAGCTGGCGGGGGGATTGCCTCCTTGACCTTGGCACTTAACTCGATTTTATAAGTCCAAACCCATGGAAGCTCAGCTTCCTTGAACTCAGGAGGTGGCTGCCCAGCCTCCAGTATTTTCAGTCTCTGATTCTTAATGCGGGGGGTGGGGCTGGAGGAGGACCCTTTGTGTTGGTCTTTCAGCTGACCCTGCTGGTAGGGTCTGGGGTGGGTTAACTGTGATCCCAGCTAGGGAGGCGGGCCTGCCCTCTGGCTTCCCATCCAGCTGTCTTGTAAACAACTCCACAACAGCATCCCAGCTCCAAGGGGACCAGCCAGGAGCTGGCCCTCCCTGCACGACAGGTTCTGACGGTGCCACATTCATCCTGGTGGCTGTGCCCGGCAGTCAGCCAGCCAGGTCCTGGAAAGAAGCAGGGTTCTCCCAGTAGGGGTGTGGGGGGGGGGGGCTGTCAGGGATGGTCCTGGGCTGCTGTGACCAGCTGTGACCCCAGCAGGTGATGAAACCTTGGACTTTCCTCTTGGGCTGATCAGGAGTGAAGGGAACGAGTAATGCTTAGAACAGTCCCTGTTTGGTGAAGAATTACTAAGATTCTAGAGCCGAACCGAGGCTTTTGTCTTGTCTGTCTTCATTCTCAGAACACCTTCCAGAATTTCAGCCTCAGGGTAGACTTTTTTTTTTTTTTTTTAATTTCCACTTTTCAAATGAGGACACGGAGGTTTTAAAAGAAGTCCAGGATCCCCCAACTGGGAAGTGGCAGGTCTGGGATTGGTTTCTAGGGCTGTGTGATTTCCAGAAGTTGGGACCCTTAATGAAGATGCTATATTAGCTCAGGAACTGACGCACAAATGGCATCACGACACCCACTGGGGTACAGCGAGTCTTGAGCAAATGTGCTCTGTTATTGTCGATCTCTCCTTCTTCAGGCCTGTGGCTTGTGAGAGTGTCAGCTGGGTGGGCCAGGTCACCATGAGCGATGAGCCGAAGGGCCCTTCTTTGGGTGTTTGACCAGAAAAAACGGGAAGGGGTGCCTGGGTGGCTCGGTCAGTTGAGTTTCCAGCTCTTCATTTCGGCTCAGGTTGTGATCCGAGGATCATGGGATTGAACGCTGCACTGAGTATCGAGCCTGCTTGAAGATTCTCTGTCTCCCTCTGTCCCTCCCCGACTCATGCTTGCTCTTCTTCTCTTTAAAAAAAAAAAAAGAAAGAAAGAACAAACTGGAATGTAGCTGAGCTCCATGCTCCCACCCGGGGGCTGGAGTTGATATAAGCCCTGGAGGCTTGAGTGCCCTGTGAGAAGCCAGTGGAAGCCACTCGTGCTTTCCCCACAAACCGACAACTGGAACGAGGATGGATATTCGGACACTCTTACCACGCACCAGCCCCTGTGGTCGATGCTTTGTGAGCATCAGACCTTCAGCTTCCCGGTGAGAGAGATTACTGCCCCGTTTTGCAGAGGAGGAAGCTGAGGCTCAGAGGCCGGGTGCCCTGCCCCAGCCAGTGAGCAACAGGGTCACGCATCAGCTCAGGCCCTTTTGAGCCCCAAATCGGAATTGGTAGCCTCTGAGCACTATTGCTGTGTGTATCCATAAAACGTTGCAGTTTCTGGGATTTCTTCGACGGGAGTTATTTTCTTGGCTGGAGCAGGGGACCCGTCTCCCCTGTTGCCAGGTGGTCCCCACTGCCCTTTCCCTTTCCCTCAGAGACGGAGCGCCTCCTGACACCCAGTCCTGGGTATGGCACCCGGGCCGGGGCTTCCCCGGTCCCTCCGGAAGAGGAGGACCTGCGTCGCCGCCTCAAGTACTTTTTCATGAGTCCCTGTGACAAATTCCGGGCCAAGGGTCGCAAGCCCTTCAAGCTGATGCTGCAAGTCGTGAAGATCTTGGTGGTCACTGTGCAGGTGAGTCGTGCAGGGGCCCCAGCAGAACCCAGCTGTGGCCGCCGCCGTTCTTGAAGGAGAGTCCTGGAGCCAGAGCCTAGTCCTGATGCTGCAGCAACGTAAGGACAGTGACAATGGCAGTGACCAGTCACAAAGCTCTCCCAGGTCTGTGTGGGAACAGCTCCTGGTAAGCTCACAAATGCCCTCGGAGGTCCTGGCAACTCTTACTGCCACCCTCTTACAGATGAGGCAGCCAGGGCCCAGAGAGGTGAAGGGATTTGTCCAAAATCACAGAGCAACCAAGCATGGGGAGCTGGCACTTGAACCCAGGCAGCCTGGTGCCTCAAAGAGAACGGACCCGGTGGCTTAGCAGATACTGCTGCCATCCCAGGCCCCATGGTGGGCTTTGGGGACCCCGAGACGAATCAGACCGAGCCCCTGCCCTAAGGAGCTCTGGGTCTGGCGCTGTGATTCGGGGCGTATTACCACACTTCTGCTTTCTTTTCGGTACAAGGGCCCATCGGTGGTACTTACCCTGTAGATTTGGGCTCAGCACAGAACCCGGCACCTGCTAAACATTTAATGAACGTTGATCTCGGGCATGAGATGTACGAACACCTGCTGTGTGCTGCTCACCGGGGATTTCTGGTGGGCCTTCCTCCACTCGTGCCCTGGGGGAGGCCCCATCCCAGTTTTGTCGATGCCCGCTCCCTCCACCAGCTCATCCTGTTCGGGCTCAGCAACCAGCTGGCAGTGACCTTCCGGGAGGAGAACACCATTGCCTTCCGGCACCTCTTCCTCCTGGGCTACTCTGATGGGGCGGATGATACCTTCGCAGCCTACACGCGGGAGCAGCTCTACCAGGCCATCTTCCACACCGTGGACCAGGTGCGGGGCCCCCCGGGGGGGCGGCAGGCGAGCGGGCAGGCAGGGGACAGCAGGCAGGGCTGACGGCTTCTCCCCTCCCCTGCCCGCAGTACCTGATGCTCCCCGATGTGTCGCTGGGCCGGTATGCCTACGTGCGGGGCGGAGGTGGCCCCTGGGCCAATGGCTCGGCCCTGGCCCTCTGCCAGCACTACTACCACCGCGGCCACGTGGACCCGGCCAACGACACCTTTGACATTGATCCGCTGGTTGTCACTGGTGAGCAGGCGGGGCGGGGCAGACACAGCAGGAGGGGTAGCGCGGCCGCTGGGAGTCACATTCCGGTTCTGCTTCCCAGCCTTCTAGGAGATAGGGTTGTCCCGATCGATCGTGACTCGACGCTCGGGGTGTCCTCGGGGGAATGTTTGGTCCGCCCGAAAACGCACGCGTGGTGTCTTAATATCATTGATCCACTAAACGTCTGGGGGCTCACTGAGGGCCAGGCCCTAGGGCCTGTGTCCGGAATGAGACACACTGGGCTCTGTCCTGGGGAGACAGTGGGGGAACACATGACAACCGCTAAGCTCATAGTGGGAAGTGAAGGAGGGAAGGGGGCTGTCGGGGACTCTGGGGAGACCTGCCTGTGCCTCTCCCGCCCCCAGTGTCCCTTCCCTGACTCCCTGTCCTCAGACTGCATCCGGGTGGACCCCCCTGAGAGACCCCTTGTGCCCCCCAGTGACGATCTCTCCCTCTCGGACGGCAGCGCCAGTTACAAGAACCTCACGCTCAAATTCCACAAGTACTGCCTGATGGAGGGGGCCTCCAGGGCTGGGCCGAGGGTGGGGGGAGGCAGGATGCCAGGCATCCTTGGCCGCCCCCTCACAGGCGGGGACAGAGGAAGGCCACGCTGATGCCCGTGTGCGAGCACTTCCTCTGCAAGCTGCAGAGTCGGCCTTGGGGCAGGAGCACTGGTGGGGGCCGGGCGGTGGCAGGCGGGAGGAGCAGAGCCCCTCCCCCTCACCCAGGCCTCCCCACCACCCCCCAGGCTGATCAACGTCACCATCCACTTCCAGCTGAAGACCATCAACCTCCAGAGCCTGATCAACAACGAAATTCCAGACTGCTACACCTTCAGTATCCTGGTAAGCCCCAGGGTCCGGGGACGAGGGTGTAGGGCCTGCCAGTAATAGGGATTGCCTGCAGGGCTTCTGAGCTCCGGGGCTGGGGCCCTTGGCCAAGGGCAGCGTGGGGGTGAGAAGGGGGATGGGGCTGGACAGACCGTCCATCGTGCGGATCTGGGAGCCTGGGTGTGCCAAGGTCCAGTCTGGCTCCTCCTGCCTTGCCGTGTTGCTACAGATCACTTTTGACAATAAGGCGCACAGCGGCCGTATCCCCATCAGCCTGGAGACCCAGGCCCACATCCAGGAGTGTAAGCACCCCAGCGTCTTCAGGCACGGTGAGCCCCCAAACCCCACACCAGCTAGGACCGGGGGTCCTGACCTGCCCGGGGAGCCCGCCAAGTCCCAGGCCAGCACGGACCCAGTTCCTGACTCGCCCAGGTCACCCGTGAGCTCACTGAGGAGCCACAACCAGTCCTGCAGCCTCCTAGGCCTGGCCTAGCCCCGTCCCTAGTCCCCCAAGGCCCTGAGCCACTCCTGGCTCTACCCAAGTCATCTCCTCACAGGAGACAACAGCTTCCGGCTCCTGTTTGACGTGGTCGTGATCCTCACCTGCTCCTTCTCCTTCCTGCTGTGTGCCCGCTCGCTGCTCCGTGGCTTTCTGCTGCAGAACGTGAGAGCTGCCTCCAGTGGCTGCACGTGTGCCCAAGCCGGCCTTGCCCAGCTCTGGGGCCATAAGGGCCAGGGGAGAGCGGGTCCCTTGCCTGCACAGGCTCTCTCACGCCCCCTACCTCCTGCAGGAATTTGTTGGGTTCATGTGGCGGCAGCGGGGACGGGTCATCAGCCTGTGGGAGCGGCTGGAATTTGTCAACGGCTGGTACATCCTGCTGGTCACCAGCGATGTGCTCACTATCTCGGGTACCATCATGAAGATTGGCATCGAAGCCAAGGTAGGTCCTGCCTGGGGCCCTGTTGTCCCCTTCCAGGCGCTGCTCCCCTAATACGCGTTAACCCCCATCCTGCCTGGGCACCCCCCCCCCCACCTCCACCAGAAGGGCCAAGCCAGATGCGGTTGACGCTCTCTTGTGCCTAGAACCTGGCGAGCTACGATGTCTGCAGCATCCTCCTGGGCACCTCCACCTTGCTCGTCTGGGTCGGCGTCATCCGCTATCTGACCTTCTTCCATAAGTACAACGTAAGCCGCGTGTGTGCAGGCTGGACCCTCTAGACGGCAGCCGTATGCTCCCCAGATCTCACTTCCCTCCCCCAGATAAATTCATACACGTATGGCAGTCAGCGGCCTCTCTAGGTGGCCTGTCAGGAGCCTCTTCCCCATACCTGCCCGCCCCAGACGTCCGTGTCACTACACCTGAACCACAGCCACGTGAGCCCGCTGCTTTGCACGCACCCAGCTGAGTCTGGTCGTGGGATAGCCTCAGGCCCCCTCGTCCCCACCCTGCCCCTTCTCAACCCCAACTTCTCAACTCCCGGCTTCTGTGGCGGCTCTGGCGTGACTTCAGCCAGGCCCTGCCCGCTTCACCGCCATTCGAAGTCCCACCTGGGTTCCCACACCCTCATTGTGGCCCCCCGCCCCCCCCCCCCGCCATCTGCCTGCCACAGATTCTCATTGCCACGCTGCGGGTGGCCCTGCCCAGCGTCATGCGTTTCTGCTGCTGTGTGGCTGTCATCTACTTGGGCTATTGCTTCTGTGGCTGGATCGTGTTGGGGCCCTACCACGTGAAGGTAGGGGCTGTCCGGGGCGTGCTGCTCAGGATCCACAGTCCAGGGGTTCCTGTCTCCCCTCTCTAAGCCCACTTCCTAAGCCCTCTGACCCCTGGCTTATCGGTTGTTGACGCGGGGGCACGGAATCACCCACCTTGGCCCCTGGTACCTTCCCGGGAGTTCTGCCCATTATTCCCTCTGGCCCCCGGTGACCCCACCCTGCCCCCGGCCCCGCCTGTGGCTGCCTCTGACGGCGCGACCCCACCGCCCTGTTGGCAGTTTCGCTCGCTGTCCATGGTGTCCGAGTGCCTGTTCTCGCTCATCAACGGGGACGACATGTTCGTGACGTTCGCCGCGATGCAGGCCCAGCAGGGCCGCAGCAGCCTCGTCTGGCTGTTCTCCCAGCTCTACCTCTACTCCTTCATCAGCCTCTTCATCTACATGGTGCTGAGCCTCTTCATCGCGCTCATCACTGGTGCCTACGACACCATCAAGGTCAGCGCCGGCCCCCACGCCCTCCCCCCAGCCTGCGTCCAGTGGGGCCAGCCCTCACATACCCGCAGCCGTGTACCTGGGGCTCCAGGTCCCCTTAGTAGGGTCTCAGGGCACATGAGGCAGGGTCAGGAGGGACGGGTCCGGGGGGAGAAGGTGGGAGACTCTGAGAAGCCAGAGAGAGGTGACTGGGGCGGTGGTGCCGATCGCAGCCGCCAGTCTTGGTTTCATCCGCGTGGGGTTCTGGCCAGGTAAGGTTTCCTGAGTCTGCTTTTACCCAGCGAGAGACCAGGCTGTAGAGTTTTAGTGACTTGCCTGAGGTCAGCTGCTAAGCGGCCAGGCTCAACCCAGGACTGAGGGATTCCGGAAGGCCCCGCTCCTAATTCTTCTGTAGGGTGGTCTGGGCGGGAGCTCTTTAAGTCCAGGGAGTGGCGGTCCTGCAGGTTGCGGGGGTCAGAGGAAAGGGGTCGGAGTAGAGCGTGGGGGTGGCAGGTGGGCCAGACCCTGCGCTGAGTGGGTATCTAGGAAACGCAGTGTATACAGATTAGTCTGGACCAGTGGGCAGGGTGGTGAACAGCTAGTGAAAGGAACGAAGGCTACAGAGGGTCCCCTGGTCTAGACTGGTACTGGGGTGAGTCTGGGAAAGTTTCTAGAATGTGCTAATACTAATCTTAGCCACCTGTGACGACTTAAATTTTGACTTGAATCAAAGTGAATTCCACACTCAGTTCCTCACTCACATCTTTCGAGTATCAAGTGCCCAAAAGCCAGGATGGCTGGTGACGACCAGGTTGGTCGGCACAGATAGCAAACCTTGCCATCATCTCAGAAACTTCTGGATTGACGAGATGAGAGTTGAAGAGAGAGAGGACCTGGGAGAAGGAACAGCCAGAGCAAAGGCCCAGTAGCCATAAAGGACTTGGGGAAGAGATGCTGATTCCTCTACCAGGTTGGGAGGGGGTGAAGGCTCTGCTGAAAGCAGATGTGCACCCCCCCCCCCGCAAACATGGATAAACCATCCCACAGACACACACTGTCACCCAGGCCCGAGGAGCCCCTGTGGAGCTTGCTCTGGTGCCTCAACGTCACACGTGTGTATCAGCTTGGGACGTACAAGCCCAGACCTTGATCCCGCTGTGTGCACCCAACTCAGTAGTTGCGTGTCAAGCACCCAGATTGTGTCACGTGTGGTTCTGGGTGCTGGAGCACAGCAGAGGGCACCAACTGACTGAGATGCGGGGGCACATATTCGGGAGGCCAGGGAAGGTCTCCGGGGGAAGCACACCATGAGGAAGGACAGGTGCAGGGGACACTGAGTATAGAGTGAGAGTTGCGTGGGGGTGGGGGGAGGTGGGGAAGCTTGGCTGGTGGAAGGAACCAGGAGGAGATCCAGTTGGCTGGCTGGCGAGGTGGTGGTGGTGGTGGTGGTGGTGGTGGTGGTGGTGGTGGGGAGGCCAGACATCAAAGGGGCCACCCCGCGTTTCCCCGCAGCACCCCGGAGGTGCTGGCTCGGAGGAGAGCGAGCTCCAGGCCTACATCGCGCAGTGCCAGGACAGCCCCACCTCCGGCAAGTTCCGTCGAGGGAGCGGCTCGGCCTGCAGCCTCCTCTGCTGCTGCGGCAGGTTCGAGTTGGGTATTGGGGCTGCCGAGAGGGCGTGGGCCCGAGGGAACTGCTGCCTTCTGCCCCGCTGGCCGGCTGATACGGCTTCTCTTCCAGGGACGCCTCGGAGGAGCATTCGCTGCTGGTGAATTGATTCGGACCCGCTGCTGCTATTGGACATTAGCCCTCCGACTGCGGAGACTCACGCTTATTTATTTTTAGGGTTTGCTTTTAAAGGACCGGTTCCCTGCCGTGCCCTGAGGACCTGTGCCAGTCGGGTCGGACACGGGTGGGACAGGGGTGGGTGGGTGTTAAATAAACGGGAAAATAAACTTGTTCTCGGTTCTAGTGGGAGGGGCATTCCCTGCGCCCACAGGTCTCGGTCCCTTTAAGGCGTCGCCAAACCGCGTAACCGGCTGCGCCAGACAGTGGACCCTTGGTGGGGGGCGGGGCTGCGGGGCGCCCTGTGGTGAATGATTTAAAGGGGCCGCGCCTGCGGCGCCGGGCGGAAAGCTACCGGTGTTGGCGCAGAGTGGAGCCTGGCTGCGGCCCCCTGGGTGAGTCCGGGTTTTCGTCGCCCCCGCAGACGCGTCCCTTCCGGGATCGTTAGCGAGACCTTGATTTTCCTAAGATCTCTCCTCCGATTTCTGGTAGTCCCAGGCTCTCTTATGTTCCCATCCCCCTCCTCCCCCAGTTCCCGGCAGGTGTTTCCACGCGGGTAGCTGGGTGTGCGCTAGGGTGAAAGGGCCCTAGTTCTCCGTAAATTTTCCATGTAGTCTCTAAAGGACCCAGTGACTCCCCCAAGTTTACGTTAGTACTCCAGCCGTGCCAGAAACATTCTCATTCCCTCAGAAAAGCCCCAGTAATATTCCAGCGTTCATCTCGAGGCCGGTTCTCTAGCTCAAACGACCGCTGGGACGTGCCCATCCAGCTCCCAGTTTCCCCAGTAACAGTCCTGTATTCCTGGGAATCTAGGCAACTTTACAGTGACCCCCGGTAATTCCAGCATCCTGGTTTCGTCTCAGTAATGGCGCCAGCATCGTTCCCAAAGTTCCAGTGATGCTCCACACTGTCAGAGACCCCATAACTTTATTAATGCGTGACAGTAAAGCTCCAACATCAGCCAGGAACACCTTGTGACCCCGCCCCACTCCGAGCATCTCGGGATCCTTCCGAGACCTCGACATCACCCCAGGACCCCTTGTGTGGTAGTTTGCCGGCAGCACTCCCAGCGCCCCGGCCTGTGGGTTTCCGGAGGGGCAGGTTTAGGTCAGAAGCCAGTCGTCTCCTCGACCCCCATGGCTTGAAGACCCCAGTTTCCCTGGGAAGGTCCATCCAGCCTTCGCAGGGGGGTGCGGCCTAGCGTCTGCTGGGTCAGAATTGGTCAATCCCGCAGGGAAGAAGCCAGGAAGGGGCCACTCGCGGGAGGAAGTCGGTCCTCTTGGGCGCCCGTGCAGTGGCTGCTGACTGGGTGTCTGGCAGGCTGCCCTTTAGCCCCAGGGTGGGGCTCTACCGCTGGGGCGTCTGCCGGCCCAGCGTATGGGTGACGGGAGCCGGGCGGGGAACCAGGGACCCCCCCCCCCCTCCCTAGCCCGGGACTCGAGGTCCACCTGCACCACTTCTCTGCTCTTCAGTGCCCCTCCAGCTGTCCTCTGGCCAGCAACGCCATCCAGGTGGCCCGTACGAAAGGGGCAAGGTTCATGGTAAGGAGCAGGGCTTGCGGCAGGGGAGAGGGGGGCCCAGAGCGACGACTTGCACCGGTTCCTTCTACTTCGTATTCCCTAGGACTCAGGGCTACCAGACCTGCCTCCCAGTCTGAAGCAACTGATGGAGGCTCCGCTGCAAACCGGAATGGTAAGGGTTGGAGAGGTGTGGCGCTGCGGGAACTACAATTCCCGAAATGCTCAGCGCTCATCGCGGTCCCGTGAGACCTTGGTTACGCCTGTTCTGGCGGAACTACGTTTCCCGGCGTGCACCGCGGGCCGCGGAGCCGCCGGAAAAGAGTTGCGCCCCCGGGGAGGGAGTAGCACCGGCCCATTCTGCAGATGGGGGCATCGAGTCACGGGCCGTCTGTGACCTCCTCGGGGGCCGGGGACTTGGCGGAGTGGGATGGGGACGGGGGCGTCCCGGCCTCCGTGGAGGGCTCGGCAGGCCGGATATGCGATGCGCAGCCAGTGCCCTTCATCCCGCAGGTGCTGGGCGTGATGATTGGGGCTGGAGTCGCGGTGCTGGTCACTGCCGTATTCATCCTCCTGCTGGTGCGGAGACTGCGAGTGCAGAGTGAGGACCCGGAGGGCCCCTCCGGGGAGGCTGCGGCGTAGGGAGCTGAAACGTCCGGGGTCCTGAGGCAGTAGAGATGGGACTTACGGGAGTCTCCAGGCAGGGTCCTCATCTCTGGTCGCGTGGAGTCTGCGCGGAGCTCAGAGTGCTTCTCTCCCCACTTATCCCCAGAGACTCCAGCCCCGGATGGTCCCAGGTATCGATTCCGGAAGAGGGACAAAGTGCTTTTCTATGGTCGGAAGATTATGCGGAAGGTGAGTCTAGGACCTCCTGGGGTCCTTGCCGACCACACAGAGGTTCTACCCTTTCCCTCTTGCACCGCTTAGTAAGCCCGCCCTCCTTGAGTAAGCGTCTCTGGATCTGGTCCCTTCTCCCCTTAGGTCTGAACTGGCAGTTCACCCATCCCCCATCCTTAATTCTCCTAGGTATCACAATCCACTTCCTCCCTGGTGGATGCTTCCGTCTCCACCACTTCCCGGCCACGCATGAAGAAGAAACTTAAGATGCTCAACATTGCCAAGAAGTAAGGCTGTACTGGGTGTACCTGGCGCTGGGGGACCATCTCAGGGACCTTTTGAGTAATCAGCCCACAGCAAAGGGCCTATCTAAGGGTTCTTTGAACCCCACGGACTCAGAGGGGCTATCTCAGAGCTCTCCCACACCAGACAGGCTGTCTGTGGTGTCTCTGTGCCCTGAGGGCTCTCTCAGCTATGTTCCCCTACCACAGGGGTGTCTGTGAGCCCATTACCTCCAGCCCATATCTCAGACACTTTATAATACATGTAGGGGTCTGCCTCCTGGTTTGCCGTGTGGGCTAGTTCATGGGTCTCCCCACCCAAGAAGTGATTCATTGGGGTTCACTCAGGTGTTTCTGTGACCTGCTGGAGGGGCTGTCTCTAGCTTTTGCGTTCTGGGGGTATCTCTGCAATTTCTCTCCGTCAAAAAGCATCTTTCTATGTTGCCTGCCTTAGAGTTCTTCCCACACTAAGGAGGCTGTCTTAAGCATTTCTGTACCGCCAGGAGTTATTTCAAGAATCTTCTTGCTTTAAGAAGCATAGGAGGGCATGTCAGGGGCCCATGTCATCAGCAAAGGGCTATCTCAGAGTCTGTGAGAAAGGCCCTCCCAGGGATCTTTCTAAGTTGGAAGCTGGCTCTGAGGTCGGTCTCCTGACATCATGGAATATACCTGAAGGTCTGTTTTGAGGGCGTCATCCCAGGGCTGTTCATGATCAACAGTTGTGTTATCACACAGCTTTTTAGGGCTTGAGAAGCAGCGGGTAGCTTTAGATTCTCTGTGGTCAGTTGAGGGTTTATATCTCGTGTGTGTTTATGTCGCGGGGGTGGTCTCAGTGTGTGCATACCCTTAAGGAGCTACACTGATGTCATGACCTTCAGAGGGCATCTCAGCTCTCTGTGAACTGGGTACGGGCTAGCCCAAGATCTCTCTGATCAGAAAAGGAGCCATGTCTGGATTTCTCTGTATCATGGAGTTTAATTCAGAGGTCTGGTCATACTAAAGGGTCTATGTCAGGAGTCTTGTGACCAGGGGAGGGATCATCTCAGTAGTAACTGTGCTTTGCCAGGAAGAGTTCTCCCAGGTCTATGGTTAGCAGAGGAGCTATATCTGTACTCTCCACACATGATGAGAGCTATTTCAGGAGTCGTGACCATCAAAGGCGTCATCTCAGGGTTCTTGATATCTGGGCATAAGGGCTAGCTCAGGGATCTTTGCAAAGATCAAAACAGTTGTACCGGGGGGTGACTGGGTGGCTCAGTCGGTTAAGCGTCCGGCTTCGGCTGAGGTCATGATCTCGCGGTCCGTGGGTTCGAG